CCGGGAGAAGAGGGCGCGGATGCCGATCTTGAGGAGAGGTTCATCCCCTTGTGGCACAACAACACTGCATTTCTGAAAAGTACCCGGCCTGGTAGACGTTTACGTAACGAACTGGAAAATCACCATTTTTACTAGGTAAATATGTAAATCAACTATTTCTATGGCAATGTTCAACAGCTATGTTAGTCATTACCAGAGGGTATGGCTTCCATAAGATGACAGAGATTCACCTGCCGACGTGGCAGGCCAAAGGGTACCCATGGCAGCCATGGCAGCCATACTCCATCGACTCAAATTGCACCCACATTTTTGTTCGTTGTCCCCAAAATGCCTAGACGTATCGTAGATTTTTTTGTGTCTCTTAAGACGATTTCAAGACGATGGAAATGGAACGTGAAAATTTATCGGGTACTCTGGGCTCTGTGAATCCTTTGATAACTTTGGAATTACCATCTGGTTATGACTAACAGTTTGCCATAGAAAGATCCACCCATTTTTAATGGGTAAACCATCTATTTCTATGGGCCATCTATACCATGGCTATGTTAAAAAACCAGAGGGTAGTAAGTAGTTCAGCATGTGAGTCATGATCATCCAGTCAAAGTGCACAATTTAAGATAAAGTAGGGAGCAACATCCTCTGACAGCAAGATTTGTTTCATACGGAAATCCTTCAGTGTGCGATGGTATCCCCTATACAGAATTATCCCCTACAACATCCTACACCCGCGAGTACCCGTAGCAAAATATCCCAGCTATAGGGAATGCATCACCCACTTTCGAAACATTCCCACCTTTCTTCCAGAATCATCCAAGTGTAGCAACCATGCTTATCAAGTAGGTTATTAAGGGATGGCTGAGCGGGAGATACATCCAAGAACAGAAATAGTTGGTAAAAACCATGGTTGTTCACCCAGTTATACAATAGATAATAATGGATACATCTATTTCAACCAGAGACATCTCAACCCTGGGAAACACCACCCATCGTCAGGCAGCAGATTCATTGGCAAAGAGCGGGCCTGTCTGCCCCACATGTTGGAGCTTCTTGCGTGTGGACACCGAGCACCGTGAGACCCGCAAGCTCCGCTGGGGAATCCCTGAACTGAGGATCCAAACTCACAAATGATACCATCAAATCCAAACGCCATCAAACGCCTAAAACCCTCAAGTCCTAAAACTGAAGCCGGAAACATCGCCACAATGTTTTTGTGCAATCCTCAAGTGGCGTGCAAACCACCCCTAACCACAGGAATCTTTGCTCTGACGCTAATTGAGGCTAGCGCCATATGCAATATTTGATGCTGATGGTCGTTGACGACTTTAAACTTTGTAAGCTCTCAGGGAAGTTCATTTAAAATGAAAGAAGACACTTATTACTGCATGGTACCATTCAATGTGGCGCAAAACTGACAGGAAAAACTCCGAATTATCCAAACATTATCCAAGAATCATCCAAACATCATCTCAAAATCTATCCAAACATCATCTCAACATCTGAAAAAAATGATCCAACTGATCTGTTCAGTGTCAACTCCTTGACTGATCCCAAACTCCAAGGTTTCGCAGCTCCGCGCATTTGTCGCACTTGCGAACGCAGAAGACCTTGGAACAGCTCGGGGCGGCGGCGCCGGGGAACCCAAGCTTGGTGGTTGGTTGGGGTAACTTTCATGTGGGTAAAAGAAAAGGATCCACCATCCCCAAGGTTACCATGTTTATCCATGTTAATTATGATTTTTATATATATTTATGGGATTGAATTGATGAAAAATGGGATGGTTTAAGTTTATTTCTGTGTTTTAACCACATTGATATGGCTTTGTCTGAATACAGCACTAAATCCATTCGTTAAGCATTACTGGCTGGTGGTTTGGAACATGGATTTTATGTTTCCATAAATTGTGAATAATAATCCCAACTGACGACCTCATATTTTTTAGAGGGGTAGGTATACCACCAACCAGATTATATACAATCCATAAATATATGACCTGCCATTTGAAAGTTTCTTCGCGCCAATGATGCTCAATGTAACTCTGAAATTAGAACTCATATTCAACTATCTATACAAGATGGTGCCCGAGTTCGTTAGCTAATGTTGATGAACATAACTCCAATTTCACTATGGTTTATGATACGCAAATAACGAACTATAACGAACTAATATTCATGTGGTTTATAAACCAACTTTGACTGGGGGGCACCACCTTGTATGATATTGTGTCGCTGTTGCAGTGTTCCATAGATTCTTGTAAACTTGGATTTGAGTCGATGATTTGTTTTTTCCCCGAAGAAAAATCAACTTTTCTTGGGACCCCGAATCAACAAATCCAAGGTGATTCAGGTTAATGGTAGCTTGGTGGTCGTTGGTTTATCCTGTGGCGACTTTTGATGGAACATTTACCTTTTCTCTTGCTAGGTTGGCAGTCTTTTGCGAGATATTTATCTACGGTCAGCCGTGCATCCCGATTTGTTTCTTGATCAATGTCAGCTCTTGAGTCGAGTGTGTGAGGTTATCAGATTGGGAATTTCACATATGATTGGTTACAAAGAAAAAGTCTCCCAATCAAAGAACGAAAAATTAATTGATTATCACATATGATTGGGAATTTCAAGCTGCCGTGAATTGGAGACAGTTGGATATCGGGGCTTGGCTTCGCAGCAGAGTTTCTGACGAATCTGTTGATCCACAACTTTCCATGCTCGGTTTTATGTGGTTTCATTTTCATCCCAATCTTACTGGTGCTGAACGCAGGGAATTTTCGGGAATGAATGATCTCAGTCATCACTAGTAATGTCATCATCCCACCCCGAGCAACCCATCCAGCAACCCTACGTAAAACGCACCAGTAAGCAATTTTGGGCTGATCAAATTTGGGAACAAATCGCTGTTGAATCTTCGATCTCGGTAATATCGCCGTTCTGTTTTTGCTTGGAACTCCTTCCGCGTTCCTTCCTCAGGTCATGCCGGGTCGGACGTGAAGATGTTCTGTTCCAGACAGATGTGGGGCTCGATTTTGGGGACGGATGAGGATGATATTTAGTGTGATGAGCTCCACGTTTGGTAGTGATGACCATGAATAGAATGGCAGGTATGTATCACTAGTGAAAATTATAGTAATTCATGGTGACCAATAGCCATTATTCATGGTGAATGATGATGAATGGTGGTTCATGATTAATACTAATGGCTAGTAATGGTGATTAGTGATGATTAACGGTGATTATAGAATGGAATTAGTTGCCATTTGGTGCCCTTTGAAGCTGATTTTGACCTTGGAAGCCTTGGATTGTTCACCATGAGCGCACCAAGAACTGCTCCGATTTCCAGCCAGAGATTGGGATACCCTCTGGTTATGACTAACATAGCCATGGTATAGATGGCCCATAGAAATAGATGGTTTACCTATTAAAAATGGGTGGATCTTTCCATGGCTATGTTAAATAACCAGATGGTAATCCATTGCAATTTGGGCGCTGATCCAGTTTCAGAGAAATCCATAACTGGTTGGTGTTTTTTTGTACAGAGTAAGTTCTACCTTTTATTTTTTTCGGATTATGAACATAGTGGAAACCTATCAACCAACTAGTGAAAATTAATGGTTGGTGGTTTGGAACCATGGAATTTTATGATTTTTCATATATTGGGAATGTCATCATCCCAACTGACGAACTCATAGTTTTCAAAGGGGTAGGGCTCAACCACCAACCAAACTAAGAATACTGTGGTAAGCCGTAAGTAAAACACTCTGGATCCAAACACTTCCTGAGAATGTACAATTCGGTACCTTGGAAAGTACTTGGATCCAGATAAGTACTTGGATCATTTCTCAGAAAGTACGTATGGCATCCTCTGAAAGTATATGGCATAGGGAAACCTCCCTATGAATTAATTATCCTGGTTGGTGGTTTCAAACATGAATTTTGTTTTCCATTTCATATATGGGATGTCATCCTTCCCATTGACTTTCATATTTTTCAAGATGGTTATTGCACCAACCAGGTTAGTTTATAATAAATCTCAATCAGCTAATCATGAACATTATAACATATTATAACCCTGTATATCCCAATCATACCCCTATAAAGCCTATAAAATGTCTATCAATCTTTCATCAGTTGTCGATCGGTGCCTTTTCCGTTTTTGTCGGATCGTCGGATCCAGGTCCTGCGGGAGTATGTTCCTGTGGCCTTGTGTGAAGCTCAGTGCGATGCCAATGGCCCGAGTTATACCCGTTATGTTTGTACTGAACTAAGCCCATTGAAATAGAGTGTATAACTGTTTTTCACCCCATAGAAATAACCAGTTATAACATGTTATAACTCATTTTTACGGCCAGAATTCTGTTTCTTATGCCACTGAGATGAAGAAAGACTTCAGTGGTTAATCAATGGCTGTGTTGATTATCCCTGCAGGATGGGCTTCAGAGATATCGCTGTGGCTGAATTCACGATGGTTTATGGTAGATAGATAGATATATATTATATACCCATGACGGATCCTAACGGTACTGCTATATATGGTGTGCCATGGATCCCAAATTTATATACCCCAGTCATGTTAGCATATATACCAGCACCATGGATCCTTTGGTAGATATATATATATAACTTATAACGCACTATATAGTATTCATGGGGTTTATAAACCAACAACCAACGTTCACATAACTAGGGGGCACCATCCTGTGTTGATTGATGATTATATGGGGATATACGATCCAATTTGTTCATGGGATTCTCAATCCAACTGGAAAATCCGTGTTTGACCAGCCAGTATAAAGGGACGATAGAGCATTTTGAACACTGTTCAAAAGAGTTCTTGGTCCAAGGATCTAATTTCTTGCCTTTTCCTGAGTAACTGATCAAATGATTTGAGAAAGGTCACTGTTTAGCATGTGGAGCCTTATGTAACAATGTTCGGAGTATCCAGTTGCTCAGTTGTCGCTTGAGAAAGCGAAGGGATTGCATCTGATCGCCGACAGGGCTCGAGAAACCCTACTCGAGAAACAGCTGCCTTTGGCTAGAAATGCCATGCGAATCATTTGGTGCTGTATTTTCATATTCTGTGTACCTACGCACAGCTCAATCAGCTCAGAGATCTCATGTGTCTCAATGGTGCAGCGGCAAGCACTAGCTGTGGTTCCAGGCGGACGAAAGCCAAGACCCTGGGAAGTGAACAACTACATAATTGCAAATTATCACAAAGCTGGCGCATTCCTATCAGACAGCTTGACCAGGACCATTCTTGAGATTCTTGGCGCTCCAAAGGAAGTTTTTGGTCATGTTGAGTATCCGTGTTACAGCTCCGGGAGCGACAGCTTCTTGCATCTTTGCCACAACATGGAAGCACCCTTTTTGGTCTACACTGACGCCTTCAATGCCTCTGTTGCTGGTTGGTGGTTTGGAACATTTTCTATTTTTCCATAATAATTATATGGGATAATCCCAGCCCCATTGCCTTTCATATTCCCCACCTGCCAGGTGAGGGTTGCTAGATTTTAACAGAGCTCGTCTCCTCCTCCGCCTCCTCCGCCTCCTCCGCCTCCTCACCCGCCGCCTCCTCCTCGCAGTCCAGATCGCAGTGGGCACAGCCGGACCTCCACCGCGAGCTCCAGATCCCAGCGGGCACTGCCGGACTTCAACCGCGAGTTGCAGATCGCAGCGGGCACTGCCGGACCTCAACCGCGACTTCCAGGTCGCAGTGGGCACTGCCGGACCTCAACCGCGAGCTCCAGATCCCAGTGGGCACTGCCGGACCTCAACCGTGACTTCCAGATCGCAGTGCACTGCCGGACCTCAACGGGAAGAATGTCAGAAAAGATGTCAGATAGAATGTCAGAAGATATGCCAGATAGAATGCCAGAAAGAATGTCAGAAGATATGCCAGATAGAATGCCAGAAGGTATGCCAGATAGAATGCCAGAAAAAATGTCAGAAGCTATGCCAGATAGAATGTCAGAAGGTATGCCAGATAAAGTGCCAGAATGTTTGCCAGATAGGATGCCAGAAGATTTGCCAGATAATATGCCAGAAGATATGCCAGACAGAATGCCAGATAATGCCAGAAGATATGCCAGAACATATGCCAGAACATATGCCAGAAGATATGCCAGGTAGAATGCCAGAAGATATGCCAGATAGAATGCCAGAAGATATGCCAGAAGGTATGCCAGATAGAATGCCAAATAAAATGTCAGATAGAATGCCAGAAGATTTGCCAGTAACAAAATGTATAAATGTCATGGTGGGGATCACACGAAGTAAAGTAATTTTTCAGAGGGGTAGGGCTCAACCACCAACCAGGTTGAATCTGCAGAGCGCTTGAAATCTGGAAGCAAAAAGCTGCTGGTGGCAGGTTTCGTGAGGGATCCTTTAGAGATGGTGGCATCGGCTTATTGCTACCATCATGCCGGTGAAGAGCTTGGCAACCAAATGTTTCCCGTGAAAGAAACTGCTTGGTGCTTTGGAACATGGAATTTATGACTTTCCATATATTGGGAATTTCATAACCCCAACTGACTATTATTTTTCAGAGGGGTTGAAACCACCAACCAGGAAATCATGCAAATGGGTCCTGAAGAAGGCACTCAGGTGACAGCCACAGCTCTTTTGCCCTTGGCGGAATGGATGACCAGTGTGTTTGAAGACCCAGATGATGACACGCTTCGGTTGGATTTCGAGGATCTAACCAAGTCTTCTGCTAGATTTGATTCTGGAGTCCAGCGTTTTCTTGGCTGCACCAGCATTTTGTGCAGTTTGTGTGTTTTCCCCCGCGAAGGAGTATCTTGCAACTAATGTGAAACCCATAAGCCCATGAATAAACAGTGAAGGGTTTATACCATTGATTTCTGGTGATATTGGAAATGGTTTTTATTGGGCTTGCCGGTCTACCACACAAAAGGGGACAAAGGAAAGATGTTCTGCCCATTGGCAAAAAGGAGGTGGAGGAGGTAAATGCAGTTAATGAGTTGCAAAAAAAGATCGCATTATGGTTCCAACATGTTCCAAATCCGGAGGTGTGCGGTCTTCATTTCACTTTCAGATCTGGTTGGTGGTTTGGAACATTTTTTAATTTTTCCATAATATATGGGATAATCCTTCCCATTAACTAATATTTTTCAGAGGGGTTGAAACCACAAACCAGCAATTCATGTATAGTTTTTATTTCAGGGTGTTGGAGCCACCAACCATTAGTAATAAATGTTTGCCCCTGTGGTTTGAGCAAGTCCTTTTTGAAGAAGCGAATAGAAATCATTTCAGCTCCGCATTCATCCATGGTTCTCAAGTTGTTTGAGGAAATTGAAACATACGGTTGGTGATGCCCCCCAGTGATGTGAACGTTGGTTTATAACCCCCATAAAAAAGTATAGGTATATCTATACCATAAACCCAAGTGAAATTGGAGTAATATAGGTATATCTTCAATAATTATACAAGATGATGCCCGATAGTTAGCTAAGTTGATGAACATAACTCCAAGAACTATGGTGTATGATACGCAAATAACTATAGTATGTGGTTTATAAACCAACTTATAACTGGGGGGCACCACCTTGTATCAATTTTATTTTGTGTTTGTTTCCCGTTTGTCTTGTGTCAAAGCGGTAGAATTGGTTTGGGTATTTCTTCCAACCTTGTTTTCCTTATTATTGTTTTTATTATTGTTTTGTTGTGTGTATTATTATGATTGATTCTGGTTATTGTTGTTTTGTCTCTGTTTCTTCCTGTTGTTGGTCTCTATTCTTACTGTTCATTAATATTGTTCTTCAAGTTAATACGTTATTTATATGATTGTTCTTTGTGTTTTTTCTTGCTCTTATTGTTCGTGTTGTTCTTGTTATTGTTGCTGCTAATGCTGTTTATGTTTATGTTGCTGTTGTTGTTGTTGTTGCTCTTGCTGTTGCTGTTGCTGGTGTTGTTGTTGTTGTTGTTTCTGCCCTTGCTCTTGTTCTTTTAGCTCTTGTTTGCATCAGCGTTTTTTTAAGCCCCTGGCCTGGTCCTCGCTACTCTTTTGTTTTTTATAAAAGCCAAGTATAGAGGAGTGCCGCCTAGCATGACATCCAACAAGCAAAAGAAACACGGCATAACCTGCGCACTGACACTGAGGTTTGCTGAATCATTTCTTTGGTACCGGGACGGATCTGATCTCAAAGCAGGAACGCTTTCTGATTGCTGAAAAAGCCAAGGTGTACGATGCAAATCGGAATCCAGAAACTACGAGTGTATACATTAACTCTACCTTTCCAAGTGTCGAGCACAGCAGCGACCCTGTCTGCAAGAAAGCCGCGCATTCAGCTTTGCATAAATCCTTGAACCCTGCACTCTTCGCGAGGTACCAGGAGTCTTGCCAGTGAATAGGAGGTGTTTGGTACAATGCGGGGCTCCCCAGTTATAAGTTGGTCTATATACCCCATGAACTATAGTTATAAGTATCATTAACCATAGTCATTGGAGTTATGAACCAACTTAGCTATCGTTTGGGGGCCCCGCATTGTAGTTTTTATGTATATGTTTTTGTTTGCAAGTTTGTCCATGTTTGACCAGTCATGACAGGAAAGTGTACTCGGGGGTGCAGTTTCAGAGGAAATATAGCCATAGTTATACAAGATGGTGCCCGATAGTTAGCTAAGTTGATGAACATAACTCCAATAACTATGTTGTGTGATACTTATAACTATAGTATTCATGGGGTTTATAAACCAACGTTCACATCACGTTTGGGGGCACCACCTTGTAGGGATTAGCCTCAACATCCAGGTGGATTTAGGGGATGAAACCGCATGGACTGGCAAGAACTATTTAGAAAAAACGGGGCGTTTAATACATGGGACTATTAATCACAATTATGTATAATGAGACACCATAGGTATAATCACTATGTATCATGTATTAAACTGAGACACTATGAGACTATTGCAGTATCATTTTTCAGTATGTATAATCACTATTATTCACTGATATTATACTATAATCATTAACAATGAGACTATCAATCACTGTTATGAGACTATAATCACTATTATCATTATTCAGCATGATTAATTGATTCACCATGTTTGATCACTAACCACATGATGAGACTCTTGGCCAACATAAACAGCACTATGAAAAACATCCAGATTTAGCCATATTATGATCCATTAATATTGGATATTTTTGATATGCGACTAGTATTTTAAAACTAAATGATTAGCAATATTTAACCATTATTCAGCATCATATTAACCATGATTAATCACTATGAACAACAAAAAGAATTGCCGTGTTTTAACCGCCAAAGATGTCAGGATCTACAGCGTCGCCTGGGCTACGCGGCTACCCAGTCTTAGAAGAAAGCGCCGTTCCGTGGACACGCCATGAATCAAAGTGGCAGGAACTGGTTGGTGGTGACTGGAACCATGGACTTTTATGACTTTCCTGGGTAAAAAAGACCTGGGTAAACCACTATTAAGCATCATTAACCCTAGAAAAATCATCATTTACCACTTTTAACCATCACTAATCTCTGGTTGGTGGTTTGGAACATGACTTTTATGACTTTCCATATATTGGGAATGTCATCATCCTAACTGACTTTCACTCCATCATTTTTCAGAGGGGTAGGGCTCAGCCACCAACCAGGGACAAATTGTGATCTCAAGATGTAGCCTCAAGTAAATGAACATAGACCATCATAGACCCTGAAAATATTTAAAAATATCAATCTTCAGTGGAACCTCAGCTTCGAAGCCCTCAAAAATGATATGGGCGAGCAGTTAGTGAGGGGAGATGGCAACCGTTTGAGTCAGCATTGGCTGGAAGAAAAGGCTCAGCAATCTGGTAGTGCTGGGGGGAGATGATGTATCTTTTTTTTGTCCAGGTATAGGTGAAGACAAGTTTGCGAAATGCCCATCTACCCGCGGGTCATCAAACATATTCAACTTATTCCATGGCAATGGAAAATCCTTTACAGACATGGCAATCATCTTAAAACCTCCATTCAGTTCTGGGATTTTGCAGTCATGTTCGCGGGATCCGAAAAAAATACGAAGGGTACACCGTTCGATGAACTATTGTTAGTTCGTACTCGTACCCTCCGGTAAACATTTACATCACTATGGAAAATCACCATTTTTAATGGGAAAACTCACTATTTCTGGACTATTTCTATGGCCATTTTCAATAGCTATGTGTAGTTATGTGACACGCATTACCAGAGGGTAATTGTAGGGAGTTCTACCTGAGTTTTTTGGGGGATGATTCCCCAAAGGGAATTGACACCAACGAGTATTTCAGACCTCTACGAGGTAGGGATTGATAGGGATTTATGATGTGATTGAAGCAAACTAAGTTGATGCAAATAGCTAGTTACTAGGTTAACTTTGGTTTGTGGCAGATATAGTATGGGGCTTATTTTGTGCAACAAACATCAGGGGCCAACTTTGCAGACAAAACCTTGATACACAGACACCAAAAAGGCGAAGAGACACATGTTTTTCATGAGCGGCTGAGCCGTGACTCTGAAGAAAACTAGCATAATTGTGTGACGTGTTTTCTTTTTTCAGATGCGTATCATTGCATATCATTGCTAATTGCACAAGGCAAGCCAGGCTTGCCGCCTGCCGTGTTCCAATACTAATACAATATTGCAAACGAGTTGTATAGATATCACCAATGTTTCCCTATGGATCCAAACACTGTCTGAGAAAGTACTTAAGCCTCCAAATTATAGTAAATGATACCCCAAACACTTCCTAAGAAGGTACTTGGATCCATAAGGTTTGATACAGACATTAAACTCCGGTAGTTCAGCATGCCCGCAATGTTTGATGGTGATATTTCTGCCATTGTATTCCCATGGAATATCCCCGTTTTCATCATGGAATTCCCAATAAATCCCCATTCATGGTTGGATTAACATTCATGGTTGCTTAAATGTCATTAAAATCCATTGACAAATATAAATATATCAAATTTATAGCAATTATATGATATATCCCTTCATATTGCCTAGTGATATTCCCTCAAGAAATCGACGATTGATGACACAACGGAGGGCCAAGCCGGCCAAGCGGCATCGATCGACGATGTGAGGCCATTGATGCTGGCGAATGTGCTGTGCCCAAGCGTGGGGTCTCCTCAGACTTACCTGAGAGGTCCAGTGGAGACTGGGTGGTAGGGTCGCTGACTGGGCCCACCAGTTGCCACCTGGTTATGACTAACATAGCCATGGTATAGATGGCCCGTTTTTTTCCATGACTATGGTAAATAACCAGAGGGTATAATCACTTTTTCACTATAATTAATGGGTTATAAGTAGAAATGGTTCATTGGTTATAACCATATTATGATAACAATGGTTGATGATACAATTTTAGTTCGTTTATAAACCCCATGAATACTATAGTTATTTGCGTACCATAAACCAACTTAGCTATCGAAAACCGGGGCCCCACATTGTAGGGTCAGTTTGGGGTGCCCCAAACTGAAGAACAAATGGGGGTGAATCGCTTGGAATAATGGTGTCTAATGGTGTTTAAATTCCCCAGTATAATTATCTGTTTGGTGGTTTCAAACATTTTGTATTTTCCATAATATATCGGATAATCCTTCCCATTGACTAATATTTTTAAGAGGGGTTGAAACTACCAACCAGTAATTATGAATTCCCATTGTGGTGGCAGCCACCATGTATCGCCGCTGAAAAATAAGTCCTCTCGGTGAATTTAACGTAGCAATAATGGCTATGGAAAGTCCCTATGAGTTCATAGGTAAAGTATGGTAAAGTATCGAACTAAACGACCTAAATGTCCATAGCAAACTGTTTTACAGTGTTAAACCGCCTAGAGGGTAATATCCACTTATATCCCATCATATATCCCATTACATGGGTCAACCTTGGTTAGATACTTTAATACTTTTTTTTGCTATGAATAGTAACATGGACATTTACCAGCTAAAACATAGATTGTTTGACAGGTATCTAAGATTCACCATGATCTGTTAAACATTGCAGCAACTACCCAGAGGATAATAACCACTTGTATCCCATCATATCCCAGTAAATATTCCTATGAAATGATAGTCCCATTACATTCCCATGAATATTCCCATCTGATTGGTGGTTTGGAGCCATGGAATTTCATGACTTTCCATATTAATTGGGAATGTCATCATTCCAACTGACTTTCATATTTTTTCAAAAGGGGTAGGTATACCACCAACCAGATAAAGATGTTGTGGTAATTAACTAAGAATACTGTGGTAAGCCGTGAGTAAAACACTCTGGATCCAAACACTTCCTGAGAATGTACTAACTGACTTTCACTCCATGATTTTTCAGAGGGCTAGGGCTTGGGCTCAACCATCAACCAGCGAAATTCCCATGGATTCCCATGATATTCCCAATACCATCTGGTTATGACTAACACAGCCATGGAAAATCACCATTTTTAATGGGAAAACTCACTATTTCTATGGCCATTTTCAATAGCTGGGGTAATGGTACCCTCTGGGAAACAAACATAACTATTGAACATCACCATTTTTAATAGGTAAACCACCTATAAATGGGCCATCTATACCATTGCTATGTTAGTCATAACCAGATGGTAAATATCCCATGAAATCATCCATCACAAGACATTCCCAAGAAATGTCCCAAGCTTTGGCATTTTTCAGGTCTCCACTTTCTGGGGATTGGACCAAGTTGGCACCCTTAAAACATAGGAAGATGGGCTAAAATCCACATTAAAATTGGGAAAACTTGTATTTTGTTTACCAAATTCTATGGTTTTGTGTGATGGTATTACATGGAAAAATGCAAATTCTATGGATTTGTTTGGTCGGTGATTTGTGATGTTCCTGTAGTGGGGAAGAAAACAGGACTTAGGAATCCGTCAGGGAAGGTTTCAGGGATAGTTTCGGGGTGAAGGGGCCTCAAGAAAAGTCAGGAATCTTGGACGTTACTTGAAAAAAGTATCCGTTTTTTGATGCAACAGCCGCGTTTTTCTTGAATGATGCACAACATTGCAATGTGCCCCCCAGTGATGTGAACATTGATATATAAACCCCATGAATACTACGTATAGTTATAAACACCATGGTTATTGGATGTTATTGGAGTTATGTTCACCAACTTAGCTATCATCGTTTGGGGGTCCCACATTGTAACATTTTCCAAGCCTTTTGAAAGGTAAGTTCAATCCCATGCAAATGGTTTTGCTCGATATGTCTGATTTGCCTATAACCAATCCATAGCGATTAGATCCATGCTGCCTGATCAATTTGCCATGGCCGATTCCAGTGGAATTCTAGCACGAATCTCAGTGGCATCTCTGTAGCGTTTTCTCAAGCTCTTCCCGGAACCCATCCCTCCATTGTCCTTCCATACTTCCCATGGCACGCACTGTGGCTCAGTGGCACGATGTGGTCCCTGCAGGATGGCGCCAGTAATGTGACAGTTGGTGAACATTTGGCCCCCATGAATACTATGGTATATATTGAGTCTATCCGATTCTACCTGTAACAGTCAATATAGAAGGGATTTCCACATAGGGACCCCCCAAAAGGCTAGAGCCAATAGGCTAGAGCCAAGGTATACACCATAAATCATAGAATTCAGCCACGGCCATGTCTCAACTTGGCTCGCTATTTGCTTCGGGGGCCCCATCCTGTATGGATTTTTTCTGGGATTTCTATGGAATTATAGTATAGTTTGTATAGTTGATTTGATGTTGGAAAAAAGTTGAGTTTCCGGTCAACTTGGCAAATTCTCTTAAGGGCTCTGTGGTAGCTGGGCCCACCATGGAGGGCTGATTAAAATATACATCCATCCCCATATGCTCCATGGTGCTGGAATAGTTACCTACATTTGTGTCACTTAGGGGGTAAATGTTGGCATTACAGCCCCATGGAGCAGCAAGGGGATCAGCAAGGGTTCGAACTGGTTGCCCCGAAGAGCCGAATAGCTGCGTTCAATTTTGGGGCCCCACTGGATATGGGACCACAGATGTCGGTTTCCCAATTTTCGACAGCCCTAAATTCATTGGATTATCATCATCATAGTCCTTTTTTCGATGGCCATTTGATGCCATTTTGGGGGAACACCATTTTTGGATCATTGGATCAGCATCCATCTCATTTTGTTGTTTATCTATCCAATCTGGTTGGTGGTTTAATATATGGGAAAATTGGAGAATATATATATATATAGAGATTAAGTATTAATCTGGTTGGTGGTTTGGAACATGACTTTTATGTTTCCATAGATTGGGAATAGTAACCCCAACTGACGAATTCATATTTTTCAGACGGGTTGAAACTATACCACCACCCAGCAATTAATTGCACCCGATTTGCACCATAGTTTTTGTTGAGAACCAAGCTGATGAGAATCCAACATCATCATCTTGCCTGTGGCCCACATACAAGGTGCGGCCACCCAGTTGTAAGTTGGTTAAAAGATGTTTATAGCTATGTAGTTTGTTATATCCCCAATACACAAAAAACAGTTGACGATTTGTGAACTTTTAAGTATCATAAAATCACATATAAATCTCATATCAATCACCATGGTTACATGGTTCATGTCAACCCTGGATTAATAAACCCCTAGGTTGTTAATTTGGGGGCGACACCATTTAAGTATCATATCGTGATTATTTGGAGGGTACCCCCCACAATTTTGCTAAACCATGGTTTAGTCTCATCCGGGGTTAACATTAACGTTAAATCACCATGGTTTTCCCCATGGTTTCATGGTAAATTCACCCATTTCCCCAGCGCTTAACCAACCAGGCCCGTTTCACCGGCCTGGCAAGCGGCGCTCATGCCATGCAGACCTTTCCCAACGTCTACTCCGTCGCGGTACCTCGTTGCGGTGGTGAATGGGAAGCTAAGAACTACCGTTGGTACCCTCCAAGTACCATCAAGTACCTAGGAAAAATTGGATAATATATATATATATAGATTAAGTAACTGATGGAATGTTTTCTTCATCTATGGTGAAAATCATTGTTAATGATGAATAATGGATGATGATTAAGAATCTGGTAGGTGGTTTGGAACATGTGCAATATTTTTCCATCTATTGGGAATGTCATCATCCCAACTGACTCATTTTTTTCAGAGGGGAAACCACCAACCAGTAATATCATGGGAATATAATGACTATAATGGTAATATGATAGTACCTAGGTACGAAGTCTAGGTAATTAGCTTCTTTCGTTTTCATGATATACTCCTTCATACACCTAGAGGTACTCTCCAACTACCTTATATGGGGTACAAGCGCTACCGGGCCCGCACTTCCCGGCCGAAGCTTGATTAGTATACCTATCTTGAGGTAATACCTATCATTTGGGATAATATACGCAGAATTGATCAAACAGCAAATTTCTTCTACAAGCGGATTGTCCTTTGTACCTTCTGGCAATCAACCCATGCCAGTGAAAATCCCCGTTGAGAAAAGTAGAAGCTTGAAACATCTACTGAATCGGGGTACATTGGTCTAGGTAAATTATAACGACCTCACTGCGACCTCACTGGAAATATGATTAATAAGGAAATTATCCCCAAATGGCTTTAATTCAGGTTGGTGAAATATTATAATTTACCCAGATTGGTGTCTTTGTACAGTTTCTTGATGGAGTTTTTACAGTTATCCCGCCAATAGGGCATGGGATTCTGTTCTGCGAGACATGCACTGCGATTCGAGCTATAAATCGAAATATCTACTAATTTTTAAGCAGCATTAACCAGCATGAACCAGCATAACCAGATATCTAGCTATCAACCAGCTAACAATGTGCCATTGTTTGCAGGGAATCGAAGAGTGGCAATAGATTATGCATGTTGGTTCATGAATTCCAACTTCGGGGACTGCTGGAAAGCAGGGTTATTTGTCACTTGGCTCAATCGTTCATTGTTTTGCAGGGTACACATTATGGCCATGTCCGCCTCAAAATGATCATAATCCATTGGAATTGCGGAATTGCGTGGTGTTCCTTTAATCTGGGCTGATCCCCAAAGTTATAACTCCCACAACTAAGGTTATATATGTAGTCCTACAACTAAGGTAATATATCTATATATATATATACGGAGGTTTCCTAAAATGGGGGTATCCCAAAATGGACGGTTTATACTGGAAAATCCAAATCCAAATGGATGATCTGGGGGCACCCCCATTTTAGAAAACCTCCATGTATCTCTATATATATATATATAATTATTTATAACTCTTACGACTAAGTATGTATATATATATATACATATTATCATTATAAGCCAATAATAAAAAAAACAACCTGTTATATAAGGACCACGGTCGACTGCAAACATCACCGAGGCATCTCCCACATGGGCTCCTCCCGAGGCTTCAGAGGATATCAGGGGATAATCATGGGATAATCATGGGGCAATGGTACCCTCTGGTAAACAAACATAACTATTGAAAATCACCATGTTTGATGGGTCAATCAACTATCAATGGGGTATTTTCAATAGCTATCTTAAATTACTAGAGGGTATATGAATGGAATACGCATGGATTAATGATAGCTAGGGAAATCTATACTGAGTCGACCGACTGGCCAGATACTAGTACACCTTATTTTTGTGCTATGGTAAAATGTACTAACCAGCTAACATGAGTAGATTTTTCTGGCAGGTAGCCAAGATTCACCATGGAATGGTTGATAAGGGGAGAAAAATCATGGGATAATAATGGGCTAACACTGGTTCATAATGTTTGATAACGGTCGATGATGGCTAGCGGCTATATACCTACTTTGTTTTTTGTTAGACAAAAGACAATTACACCGGCAAGAGACCCCAAACAGTGCAGAAAGTCACGCCACAGGGGCCCCATTTTACCTCGTTTCTGGAAATACAGCAAAACGTAAGATGAGGCATTTGTGTGGATTGTTTTGCACGTCTTGCAATATCTCACATCATAATATGATAGAACAATGTTATTCAAATGTTGTTTATATTTCAGAAAGGGACGTTGTGGAGAGCTGGAAAGAGGAATGGACAGATATGGGTCATGTTTTGGATTAATATATTGCTACTAAGCTTTCTGTTCAGTTTTTTTTCCCTGTCTTGCTTCCTCCTCGAGACCCCTGGAAACCCTAAAGCTCTGGTTTTTACCTTCTAGATTCTAGACCTCCCTGAAGGGGAGGGGGCATTTTTTTTTCCCCACCTGCCAGGTGAGGGTTGTTAGATTTTATGTCAGTTGCCTGCTCCTCCTCTCCTCCTCCTCTCCTCCTCTCCTCCTCTCTTCTCCTCTCCTCGTCTCCTCTCCTCCTCTCCTCTCCTCCTCCTCCTGCTCAACCGCGACCCTCGACGCACAGTGGTCTCTGTCGGACCTCAACCACGACCATCCACGCCCAGTGTTCCCTGCCGGACCTCAACCACGACCATCACCGCCAGTGTTCCCTGCCGGACCTCAACCGCGGGTATCCCCGCCTAGTGTTCCCTGCCGGACCTCAACCACGACCATCCACGCCCAGTGTTCCCTGCCGGACCTCAACCGCGAGTATCCATGCCAAGTGTTCCCTGCCGGACCTCAACCGCGAGTATCCACGCCAAAAGATATGCCACATAGAGTGCCAGAAGATATGCCAGATAGAATGTTAGAAGATATGCCAGATAGAATGCCAGAAGGTATGCCAGATAGAATGCCAGATAGAATGTCAGCTAGAATGCCAGAAGATATGCCAGATAAAGTGCCAGAATGTTTGCCAGATAGAATGCCAGCAGATTTGCCAGATAAAGTGCCAGAATGTTTGCCAGATAGAATGCCAGCAGATTTGCCAGATAATATGCCAGAAGATATGCTAGATAGAATGCCAGATGGAATGCCAGAAGATTTGCCAGATAATATGCCATAAGATATGCCAGATAGAATGCCAGATGGAATGCCAGAAGATATGCCAGAACATATGCCAGAAGATATGCCAGAAGATATGCCAGAACATCTGCCAGAAGATATGCCAGGTAGAATGCCAGAAGATATGCCAGATAGAATGCCAGATCGAATGCCAGAAAATATGTCAGATAGAATGCCAGAAGATTTGCCAGTAACAAAATGTATAAATGTCATGGTGGGGATCACACGAAGTAAAGTAATTTTTATTTTTTGCACCCCCCCCCTTTCAGACCCAAGGAAACCAGCTTTCAATCCGGACCGGCACCACGGTACCGGCCGCACAGAGGGCACTACGGCACTACGGTACCGGTCGGACGGATCGGCATCTTTGGCGAGCCGGGACGGTGAAGCCAGAGATTTTCAATTTTCAACTTCAATGAAATATATCTTGCTGTACCTTATGATCAGATCATCTCATCGGACCGAAAAATCAGATCAGTTTCTGTAGGAAAAAACATTGACGAATCTCAATCCCGGTTGATCCAGTCAAAATGTCTGGCCCGACCGACAGATGTTTTTGTTTGCAGGCCAATCGACATCATTGGTTCGCGGAGCCACTGCTCAAGGAGCTGCAGCAGCGGCATAATTCATTGAAGCTTCAGCTGTCTTCTGTCATGTCTTTGCTTCGAAGAGTTTCATGCAATGATATATATGTATGCATGTTGTACATTTTCTCGAGGGCAAAGGAGAAATTGATTACCATGTTGCCTGTCATTCTGCTGTCCCAGAAAAAATCGACTACGGATGCCACAATCCAACCTTCTGCTTGCACTTGCAGCCGCTTCTGATTATCACACAGCTTTCGCTTCCGCACTTCTGCGTTCAATTCGATTGACACACCCTGATGGCTTCATCCTGGGAGACGTCTACTTTGGAGAAAGACCTCGAAGAGCTTATGGACAAGGAGTACGGCAATGTCCAACCTCCGCCATGCAAGAATCTTCGTGGCCGCAATCTGTTTCTGGTCAAAGATTTTGCGCTTCATCCAACTCTGTCAGTACATAGTAAAATAGTGGGGAGAGAATAAAAATACATGCGCATTCCATTTACATGTGATGCCCTCAAACAGGCCTTGTTCATGTTCTCGACATTGGGAAGCACTAAGGTTCCAAGCATTTTCTGATGCGCAAGAGGGCATTCGTTCCGAATCCATTCGCCCATGCCCCGCGGAGACAGCAGTGGATGAGGCAGGCAAGGTGCTCCAGCAGTGGAAGACATACAAAACGTGGAGCTTTGCATCCTTCCCGCATGCAGATCCTCTTCTACGCACACTGTTGGAAGTCAGCAAGTTCCTCTCATCCATGAATGCCGCAAACTACATGATGTCTCACAAGCAGAAACTGCTTTTGATCATGCTGATTGATGGTGAGCACTGGCGAGCACACAACAAACAAATCTTCAAGTACAATATGCAGGTGCTTGTGGAATGGTGCCGTCATTGCAAATTGAAGCCTGCGACATCTTCCTCGTGGTTGAAGGTCTATTCCTGACATTGGCCAAACATTTCGAAGATCACGAAGGTGACCCAAGTGGTCATGGAGCTCCATCCAGCAAAAAGCTGTTGCCACGCTATTTGAACATGCTCATTACGCACACAGCTTCTTCGGTCTTCGGCAACGAAGCAAAGGAAAGTAGCAACCATCTACGCCAAGTCACTGGAAACAAGAGCTGGAAAGCTGGGTGGATGCGCCGTGTTTCAGACATGTTGGCCAACTTCAGAACGCAATGGGATTCCTCTCGGGTACAAAATCTGAGCAAATTATTCTTGGTCGAGTGGGATTCTCCTCTTCCGAGGTCCCAAGGAGTTTGCTTTCGAGATGTCTATCTCAATGCCAATTGGGAAGAATCAGATCCACGTCCTGAGAGCGACTGCTATATGCGTGCTGGATAATTACCCATGCCCATTATGCACAGAATCCCTGCTTGAAAATCATCCTGATCTCAACATTGAAGAGCACCGAAGCCGACTTCGACTATTTCTTGAATCTCTCTACTTTGACAATGAAGCAGTCTTCCAGCTCAAGCTTTGCTTCCTACATGCAGCCTTCAAAAAAGCATGCACTGGGAAGATGATGTTTGAGGTCGGCAGTCGGCAAGGGAGGTGACGGAAAGGGCATGGAAGCCTACCTTGAAAAAGCAATGCTGGGTGAGGATGAGTCTGCGACCCTGGACTGGGGCGATTTTCTTGATCGACAAGAATTTCGGAAGTCAGCAGAGTTCGCCTGGAATAAGGCAAATGTCCGGATTCAGGAGATGGACCAACATGCAAGGTTTATTGCTGACCTTTGGAAATGCTTTGTTGTAGATGAAGAAGTAGATTGCAGAGTCAACTATGGATTCACTACGAAGCGCAGATTCGGGTCATCCATGAAAATTCAAGAAATGAACTATGAGAACATCCCAGTGATAGAAGAAGGCAGAGATCGACTGAAGGCGTGCGAGCAGTTGAAAAGGCGTGTCGTCTGCTGTCGCATGGGCAAAGCTCGTTTCGTTCTTAATGACACGGAGGTAGATCCTGCCAGAGTAGTGTCCCCCCTGATACCACAGGATGAGTTGGTTCCCTTCTTGTCGCATCCTCTTGCAGCCTCCATCTTCTTTTGTGAATGGTGCTTGCCTTTCTTCCAGGAGAATACGATTGAGGAGTGCTTGGGGATGATTCTAATTTGGCTTCGGCGAATGAGTCTCTACAGTCTGACACGGAGTGGCTTGCTAGCAGGCTGTCTGGGGGGAATGCGCCCCCTCCAGGAGATGACTTCGATGAGACGACTGAGCTTCGAGATATGATTGCATTGGTACACAGCAAAACACCGGCAAAGAAGAATCGACGACATCCCAGGGGCAGTCATTTCGACAAGGGGCCGAAGAACAAAGTTGCAAAATTTTGTGTCAGCTCTCGAACGTTCCGGACTCCCACTCTTTCGTCATCTTGATCAATCTTAATTCGAGAAGCTTTTGCTGGATTGGTCATCTCTTGAGAAGTTGATGATTTTGCATGGCGGCGCAAAAGTGTTCTGCACTTGGTCGGATTGGGGAGAGATGGCGTTCTACAAGAAAGACACACTACATCAGGAGACTGGGGGGTCAGAGTGGTGAGTGAGAAGTGACGTCGAGATATCATAGACAATGATTTCTTACGTAGTCAGTAGTTTAAGGTTTTACTATCCCCTTACAATATCACAACAGCCAGGTGTCCTCCAAAAATTATCTATTCAGAAGGTTGGGTGAATTATGGTGAATTCATAGAATGGTTTGTATGTGCGCATCTTTCCTCAATAGGCATGATTAGTTTTTAATAATGGTATAATGTTTTTGAAATTTTGGTGCCAGAGGTGATATATATATATATACAAATCTTTTCCAATGCTGTAGATGGAACACTTGATATATGTTCTGTATGTTTGATTGTAATGATATGAATAGAAGACGCTGCAGCCCATTTTGGCGCAAAACCTGATGCAAAAACGTTTTGCTGATGACACTTCTTCCTGAATCCGTGGTGATGGAGCGTCGAGGGCTCACTGAGTGGTCGGAAAGAATAGGTTTCAGAGGAAATTCTTTGCGAAACTTGGATTAAGTCTCTGCTTCATGGACTGTTTCTTCAAGGATTCTTCAAGGATTCTTAAGTGTCCCAAGGACTTTGCTGAGCTCATCACGATGCTCCGGGATCAACAGTGAAATATAGGTCATGGGATCCCATCAGATCATCCACAGTGGGACGGTCGCGATCTCCAGAGATGTGTTAATGGCCATTTGACTTACGTTGATTTGCTTGAGAAGATATCCTTGAAAGACGAAAACAGAAGGAAGATCAAAGGACGCAAGATCAAAGGGATCACAAAGTCCTGTGGCCTTTTCGAGACAAGATTAGGTTGAATTGAGAGACCGGGCTCTCGCAAAACGCGAAGATTGCCACCAGTCTAGTTCCTTGATTTTGTTTGCGGGTTAAACCACATTGCATCAAGAGAATAGGAAATAAGTAATTCCATGGGTCTTTCAATGATAGAATCCCTAAAATGTGCTATACTCTAGAAAATATTTCAACCAATTCTACTTAATGCAAATCTGTGGTTAAAACTGACAGGATTTTGATCCCAACAGTGGATCTGGTGCGAAAAGCGTACGAGAAGAAACAAGCGCATCTAATGTCTGCAGGCTGGTACGTGCTTCAAAAAAATGCGTCCAATACTCGACTGAGCATTCATGCCAGGACCCTTAAGAAAAGCTGACAAGATCGCAATAAAAGGACCTGCTGCTGCTGGAGCGGATCTTACGAGATCTTGATACAAGAACCCCCCAAGAGCCTCCCAGAAGAGCTGTCAGAGAAGCACCTCTAAGACATGGCATCTGCAAGATCTTCATGCAAGGACATCTTAGAGAGGATCTCTCAAGGATCTCCACAAGATCTTCTGTTAAGGACCTGTACAGGATCATGCAAGAACCTCTTTAAGAGGAATTTAGCAGGATCTCCACAAGAGCCCGTTTACGCGAAATGTACAATGAAAATGCCCCAGACCAAGACCTTGAGAACCCCGCGTCGCAGACTTTGCGCGATCCTGCACAGTCGAAATGCACATACATCGCAAAAGGGCACCTTTATGAATGCGAGAATTACAGGAAAAATGCCGGGGGCACCCTGATCTAAGCCTGGCCTTTAACCGTAAGAACCCCTCAGTGTGGACACGCTGTTTGGGGAATGAGGATGGTGATGATGATAATGATGATGATGATGATGAAGATGACAACGTTTAACGGGATTTGAGGTGTTGAAATCGTTGAAGAACCTTTGATATCTTTGCGGTGTTGCGTGCGTCAAAGCCCGAAATCCCGTGAGAAAGGCATTGCGGTTTCTTGTTTGGTGGGCAACCCCTGGAGGTTGTGTCCATAACCCCGTGATGTCGTATGTATACAACCAATTATGTGTTTAACCGCGCAGAAGCATAAAAGCCGTGTATAACCGGGATACCGGGGATATTGGGCTATTGCCTGCTTACCCCAGTACAGACTACCCAGCCAAATAAACATGTTGCAGGGTATCTTTTTCGAGGGTCATCGCACTTAGCAAATGGCTAATAAGCCTGGTTAGTAGGTCCCGGATTGGTGGGTTATCCCATTTATAGGTGGGTTGCAACTAGGGTTAGTAACCAGTTGCAAACCGTGGGGTGATCCTGTAATACATTTTTATTTATAAGTACTAACCATTACCAACCATGATTAACCACTATATATCCCATGAATAAACCATTCACAAACCATTTATCCACCATGTATTGGGTTCATCTCCCAAGGTAACGATGAACGTTTCTGGAATCATTCACCTCGACACCAAAATTCCGCTGAGAGGATCAGAAGGCCATGGACGAGCTCCGCCGTGCGGTGCAAAAGGAGGATTTCTTCGGTGGGTCCTGGATGATGTCGCTGAAACGGTCCTTACTTGTACTATCCTAGGTCAACCTTGGATGGGTAATTTAGTCCTTTTAAGGTATAAATAGGAACGTCTAGTAACCAATTTTTTTTGCAGGATATCTAAGATTGGCCATGGTAGAATGGGGGATATATTGGAGATATACTGTTATTGTAACCATGAAAAAAGGAAATTCGATGGTATAATGGTGACCTGATGGAATATTGATGGAATAGTTAAGGATTTACCCTCCGACCTATACTGATCAATATTGATTCCCGTTGATTAATGTTGATTGATGTTCATTATATAATGGGGGGTATCATAGTGTATCCGATGGAATATATAACCAACAATTAGGGTAAACCCTCCCATATATATATAAAAGATGCCTCATTAAAGATCCCCAACTGTTGATTGGTGGTTTGTTGGGGGATTTATCCTTGTTTGTAGAGGTGTTTGACCACCAAATCAATTCATCGGATAAGTGTTTTTTTCGCATTTGGAGATCCCAGGCATGAGAATTCCCAGGCACTTGATGTGTTTTTCCCATCAAACAGGAAACCGAAGCTTGTTGGTTTTCCAACAAACAGGAGGGCCCCTCCAGTTGTGTGCTGCGGCTTTGTAAACCCCTAAGCCCATCGAACCATATCTTCACAAAAAAAACAAAAGTTAGCCTAGCTATAAACCGACTTACCTATCATAAATCCCATGTGAATGCCAGTTTTTGTTGGTTAAATCAGTACTTGGAAGTGCAGTTCTACATATAAGTGGATAAATAATAAAGTTGTACGGGTTATGTATATCCCAACTTATGGAGGTTAAAATCCCATAATTAGCTATATCCTTATTTTTTTCGCCCCACCTGCACCCCCAAGTATGGGTTTACAATCAATTTTTTGACCAGAGCACCAGTGTTCACCAGTGAATTCTATGTTTGTTTTTTGAGTTACCGTAACTATGGAAAATCACCATTTTTAATGGGTAAATCAACTATAAATGACCATTTTCAATAGTTATGTTAGTTTACTAGAGGGTAACTCACGATTTTCCCGTTTCTCATTGGGTGGATCCCCCATTTTGGTATTGTCCTACCGCACGGTCAGGACTGGGCCATGAACTTTGAGGAGGGTCTCACCAAGATCCAAATGCGCGCGGAGTCACTTGGCGGTTGATCAATGTGGATTTTATAGGTGATTCAGTGATTAGTAAGATAATTTGGTTAGTGATTTATTGATTTTAATGGTGATTAAGTGATGTTTTATATGTTAAGTCACTACAATTAGACAATTCATGGTGATCCTAATTCATCACTACTGTATGTTGGTCACTGAAAAATGTGATTAAATGGTTGAGAATAATTGATAATTGATAATGGTTATTATCCCTTAATAAACATTCATCATGGTTAATCATCTATAACGGTTTATAGTGGTTAGTAGTGGTTAATGATGGACAACACTGGTTGATCTGCAGGTGATTAAGTGGTGAAATAATGGATAATCTTGATGTGTTAATCATGTACAGTGATTAATAATGTTTAGTGGGTAAGTAATGGACAATGGTGATTGAGAAAGGTTAAGGTAACACATGTTACGAACCACTTTAATATCATCTTATATCTAGGATAAGGCTGAGTTATATACAGCTTATTCACCACTGAGATGCGGTCCGCCTTCAAAGATACGGTCCGCCTCTAGCAACACATCGGGTGAACTCATTCCCTCACGTTGTCAGCAGTGTTCAAAACCCTGCGTCGTAGCTTCATACTGGTGGATAAAATAGGGATTATTAATGGTTAATAATGGTGAATTAATAGTAACTGGTTGGTGGTGACTGGAACATGTTTCATGACTTTCCATTCAGTTGGGAATTTCATCATCCCAACTGACGAACTCATATTTTCCAGAGGGGTAGGGCTCAACCACCAAGCAGTGTTGCTTGAGAACGGGATTCCCCAACCAAATTCCCGAAGTTTTTTCATCAACCAACAGGGGTGCAGTTGCTTCACTGCACCTTGGAAAATCAGAGTCGTTGAACCGATGTTTGTTAAAGCCTAGCGACGCTCATAATGGTTTTGAACCCTGGTTACTCAGTTGACATTGGATGAACATAAAATTTTATAAACCCCTCGATCATGTTGGGTCATGAAGCACATTTGTTTATTGGGTAAAGGCCAAGCAAAGGAAGAAATGGCCAACAAGTAGAAACGACTGAATGTTTCGCAAATGTAGTCATGGAGAGTTGTCTGGAAATGGACATGGATATGTCGCTTAAATTTGAACTGATTCTAAGTTGACTTCCACTTGGTTTGATTGGATTGGAGTTTGAAGAGAAATTGAACTAAACTTGAGTTGAATCTGAATTGGATTTCCAACTGCATTTGGCGTTGCAATGCATTTAAAGCTGAATCAAATCTGAATTAGCTCCAATTTGAGCTGACTTTTTATAGTTGAATTTGAATATCACTTTGACTCGACGGTGATTTTAAGCTGAAATTGAATTGATTTTGAAGGGCAGATGGATGTAGAATCTTTATTTAGGGGGGCACCACTATAAAGTATTATATTTTTTTTCAAATGGCTTGGGATAGCAAACATAATTCACGTTAAATGGGATTTGGAAAGTTGAATATTCACCGCAAATCGAGAAAATTCAGTCACTTTATCTGGTTTGGTTCGTTGGTACAAGGCTGACTATACAAGGTGGTGCCCCCCAGATAAATTGGTTTATAACCCCCATTAAGTAGTTCGGTATATCTACCATAAACCCAAGAGAAATTTGAGTTATGTTCACCAACTTAGCTAACTAGGGGGCCCCACATTGTATGGAGCTATTAAGAGCTGTCTCTCTTGATTGGTTGTTGTCGTTGGTTATATACCATCCGGTGTTATCAAACGTGGCGATATATTTGCATTTTTGTAGCCCCTTGTCGATATATTTGCATTTTTGATTCGAAGGGATCAAAGAAATCGCTGCGCTCAGATCTTTGGATGTTGAGAGTTCATCATGTGAAAAAGCATTGTGAAAACCATCATTACCCTCTGGTAAACATACAAAAAACCATGGAAAATTACCATGTTTAATAGGTAAATCACCTATAAATTGGCCATTTTCAATAGCAAACGGTTTGTTTACCAGAGGGTAAGCATCATTAACCATTTCAAAGTTCATTAATATTCCATCAATATACGTAATATTCCATTAAACTACCATTAAATGTGGAGCCCGCAGTTATAAGTTGGTTTATAAACCCCATTAACTATATAGTTATAAGTATTATAAACCATAGTTATTGGAGTTATGTTCACCAACTTAGCTATCGTTTGGGGGCCCCACATTGTACCATTAAAACCCATCATTTCAGTTCAGCAAAGGGAAAGGGTTGAAGTACTTTAGCTGGAGCAGAAAAGAATTCGAGGCAGATGGATTTAGAATCTTGGTTAAACCCCGTGGATTTCCCTATGGAATCGCATGAATTCCCATGAAATTCATTGAAATTCTATGAAATCTCAAGAAATCTCATGAAATTCCTATGAATTCCCACGAAATTCCCATGGAATTCTTCTCCAATCCTATGAAATTTCATGAAATTCCCCTGGCATTTCCCAGTTCCCTTGGGGCCCACCTTGTCAAACGGCCGTGCGAGGTGGTCTGCCAGTAAGGATCGTAGTGCGCTGCTGCAGTGGCTCGTGAAGTCCCGCCACGCCACGCGGAAGATATGAAGTTCGTCGAAGCGGGTACCATTTTCAAGGGAGTATTCAGTGATGTTTGTTGGTTTATAAACCTCATGAATACTGTAGTTATCTATAGAATCTATAGTTATATCAGGGATTATATCACTTTAATAATGGATGGGTACCATTTTCAGGGGAGTATTCATGGATTAATAATAACAATAGTAATGTGATACCATAATCAAAGGAAGTTATAAGTTTACTCTAATGCCAAACAGTAATGTTTTTGAATTTCATATCATGTTCAGGGATTATTCATGGATTCTTAAACAATACAGGATGGATTAACTAGTGATTAACTATAGTTACTATTGCCAAACAGTAATGTATTATAATTTCATATCACTAGTTCGTACAGGATGGGACCCCGTCAGATAGCGTTCAGTTGAGACTCCTCGGAGAGACGACTCAGTGGCGCAAAGTTTGCTGCCTCCGTCATTCGGGTGACAGAAGAACACCCTGCTCTTCGCCGGGCCCATGCAATGGCCAGAGACGACAAAGATTGGGATAGTTGGGATACCCTCTGGTAAACTAACATAGCTATTGAAAATCACAATTTTTAATGGGAAAACTCACTATAAATGGCCATTTTCAATAGCTATGTCAAATTACCAGAGGGTAGAGAGAATCCGCAATGGCCAGATGCTGGTTCCAACAGAACCGGCGGCTTGCTCCGGACATATTCTGACTGCCTTGTCACCAACGAAGGATAATATTGCTGTGGCTGAACTCTAGGCTATAGGATTTATAAACCAACATTCACATCACTGGGGAGCACCATCCGATAGGATTATTAATGTAACAATAATAATGTGAGACCATCTTCAGTATTATGGTAATATCTTGGAATGCTCATGAAATATCAATAAAAAAAGGATTTCTGCAGAAGCAGTTGCTCCGATGGGATGTTAATGAAATATAATGAAATATTAATGGAATGATAGGTGAATGATGGTTAGTAATGGTTGAAATTGGTTCATAATGGAACGCACATATATATATATTACATGTGTTGTTATGTAATGGGGTAAACCTAGAGATTGGGGACTTACGATCATCAAGATTATTATGACAACCACTTGTTTGTCATCATTCTAACATGTGGAGGTTTCCTAAGTCATGGGACACTAGCGGCCAACAATGGTGATTTCTCCCCATGTGGATAGTCTCACTCAGTGGCCAATTTTTATCTATCCCCATAGTTATGCCTTTTACGTTTACGGTTTAAATCCACATCTTTGCCGCAATCCCCGCACGTTTGCCTGCGAAATAACTAAATGGCGGTTTCCATAAATTGGGGTACCCCAAAATGGGTGGTTTACAATGGAAAATCCAAAATGGATGATTTGGGGGTACCCCCATTTTAGGAAACCTCCAAATGCTTGTTGCTTCAAGTCTTATCTTATCGTTTCCTGGATTCGCTGAAGAGGTTTGTAAAAAAAAAACATTGGTGACCCTCAACGTTTACACCGATGGAAAACCAGCCTTTTGAAAATTCTTGTAGGGAAACCAGTGGTTTTCCGCATCTATGTCAACGTTTACCTTTGGGGTATTCACCATCAAATCCCATACAATCATGTTTACTAATATATATATATATGTGTGGGTAAATTATAACGACCTCACTGTTTTCCCTCACTGGAATTATGGTTAATAAGGGAAATTATCTCCAAATGGCCTTAATTCAGGTTAGTGAAATATGATAATTTACCCAGAATATATATATATAATCTATGTTAGACTCCTGCTAAATTTCATTAAATTGGCATTAAATCACATGTTTTTTCTATGTTTTCTTATTGATGGAGTCCAAACTTCAGGCCAAGCGCGTTTTGGAGATCGGGAGCTTCTGCGGGGTTGGCATCTCGCCAGCGAGCACCATAACGGGTGTTTCAGGATTCAACCATCAAAAATATGAGCTGTTTCTGGGGTTTAAAGATGCTTTTTTGGGGTTTAAAGTTTATTTTGGTGGATTCAACCATGAAACTTTCAATTCAACCATGAAACTCTCAAAAGTGGGGTGTTCGAAAGTCGATTTTTTGTTTCAGGCGGTTCAGGGATAGAGATGAACACTCGGGTATAAACAATCGTGACACATGTGGAGTTTGGCCACATGTTATTTTGTAGATGGGCGTTTGGAAGCAGCGATGTGATCTTGGACCGTAAACCATGAAAGGGTGACTTGACTCACATCCCAAGTTGGTGCTCAAGTTTGTGATTGAAAGATGTTGACTGGTTGGTGGTTTGGAACATGAATTTTATGTTTTCATATATTGGGAATTTCATAATCCCAACTGACTTTCACTCCATCATTTTTCAAATTGGCTAGGGCTCAACCACCAGATATAAATTAGATGATTTGTATGGATTTATCCCAAATGTTCCTATAATATTTTTCTCCCATGAAGATAGTGCATTTCATGGCTAAATCCACAACAAAAAGTTGCCATTTTCAAGAGCTATCAACCATTGACTAGCAGTATGGTGACTTATGGTGACTTGAGGGATCCCCAGGATTAGGATAGTGGATTTCAGCATCTTTTCCGATGCTTGGAATGGACCGTTTTTCCAAGTCGGCATCTTGATCATCGATCCGCGAAGATCAAGACAAAACTCCGAGGCAAAAAACGTAAAAACCGGAAAAAAAAACTCGTTGAGGTGATTTACCCAAAAAAATCCTGGTAATTCATTTGTAAAGTTACTAAAATCTTGGTGTAAACTACTAGTGGCTACAAGGTGGCAAAAAGTAGTTTTTGTTGGGGTGGCTAGCATGTATATATATATATATACTAGCTCAATCTTACATGGATACAAACTAATCCTAACTAGTCTTTTGGTATCAATGGGAATATCTACGTTCACCAGCAAAGAATTTGTCATTTTTTTGCAGGGTATCTAAGATTGGCAATGTATGGGATGCAGTTCCGGTAATAAGTCGGTTACGTGAATCACCAGTAGGGCCCCCACCCAACTCATGGAGACTTAAATCCCATAGTTATATCCATTTATAACCATGAATAGCAATGTTTATATCCATTAAAAACCATGCATAACAATGATTAACAATAACCATAGTATTCACCATTATTCACCAGTCCTAATCATCATCGATGATTGACAAATCAACATTATCCATTATGAACTACTATTAAGCATGTTTAATCATCATTTGCCACTACTATCCCTCATCAACCATGATAGAACCCTATACATATAAATCCACCATGAAAACCATCCATTTTCCTTGATTAATCATTATTAACCATAATTTTCCCATAGTTAGAGCCCCTATGTTTGACCTTCTTTTTGGGTCGGCTTTCGTCAACATTGAGGTTCCTTGGCTATTGCTGAAGTCCTGGGAGGTG